TGAAACGACCACGAACGCTTTTTAGTTTTTTGGCCTAAAAAACCCGTTAAAAAACTCTTCTGGGTTTTTTTATCAGTTTTTTAGTCCAAAAAGCTCTTTTATTGTAGTTTATTAATCTACGACTTTTTTTAGAATGTACCAATAGCCGCTCAGTTCTTCTTTGTGTTTTGGCTGATATTTTTTCATACTTTCCTGCTGATGCTTTTAAAACTGCATACGTTATAACATAAGTTATTGTGAGTTATTTTCTTGTATAAGAAGTAAATTGGTGCCTTACTTTTTTCGTGGATTATATAGCAAAAAGACTGAGCTTGCTCGTAATATGATTGTAAAAACTCGAAGTCCTTCTGTATGCTCCTACAAGGCACTCCAAAAAACCAGTTTTAGTCTGTTTTTATAGGTACTACAAAAGAAAAAATAAAACCTAAATAGTGGATTAGAATCGTCTTTCTGCACCGTACTTGATGGGGCACAAATCAACCGAAATAGTTTTTAAATGGAAACACAGTAATTCGAATATAGAGCAGGATTGTAGCCTTTTACGCGATTTTAGGATCGCTTTTCTCGACAAAATCGAATTCCTTCGAACTCTCGCATTCTTTCCCGTCATTTAAACCACTAGGAATATCAGAGCACACAAGAATTACTTTAGCCCAGGTGTTTCTAAAGTGACCAAATCCCAGTACGAATCTAACGGGAAATCGGCTGTTTTCGGACTTATTGGGAAGTTTGAAAGTAATGTAAAAATAGATACAGAAAATATATGGGGACAGTCTTAGGAATTCGAGGTTTTTGAAAAAGTTGAGGTCAAAATAGACAAAAATTCCAAAAGCCCCACTGATATTCGAATTTTTCAATTTTCGTATATAGGCATAACTAAATGATTCTTACATCATCGAATAGCGTGTAGAAAGACGATTCCAATGCACTGTTTTAGTTTGAAATCTTGTTTTATTTTCATCCATTTGCAGAAACAGCTAAAAATGACTTTTTTGGAAAATTCTATGGAGTGCATCAAACAATTCTAAATTTTTTGACAATATGATAGGATAGTCCTATCTTTGTATTCTATATGTCACATGCTTTCAATAGTTTTGTACTCCTTTTCTAGAAAATTAAGCGTCCCTGAGCCCCCTAAAGCACAAAACCAAAAATATCGACATTGGGGCTCCGATGATGCCGATGTTTCTGAACAATTTCATTGTGATAGCTGTTAGTCCTAACCATGGATCTTCCAGTTCGATAGGGTTTTAGTTTATGTGACAAAAGTCGATGTAAGTGTGGGAGTGACTTCACGGAATTACTCAGAGTTTTCCTTAAACAGCATAGTTCAACTGCAATGAACTTACGGAATTTTAACTCGAATGAGTAGCTGTAAATGAAGTTATAATTATAAATCCGAGCTATAACCGTATCAACCTTTTTAGAAATTTTCTTATATTTTAACTCTTGAAAAGCAGTTTTAAATCCACGAATGTTCTTCTCTCGAGCTCATCCCATCGATTTTCTATAGCATGGATGTCGGGAGAATATGATGGTCGGGGCAAGGTTTGAATTTACTTTTCTTTCAAATAATCTGTAACTAAACCTAAAGTGTGTTTTGGAACATTGTATAACCATGTCTTATTTTCCAAGTTTTAATTTTTAATGGCAATAAATTTTGTTACAATATATCACGATAAAAGTCTATTCATTTTACGATCCAAGATGAATAGATTTCTGACGACATTTTGTGTAACACACATCCACACCATTCGGCTAGCACCGCCGTACTTCACATGTTGGTACATTTTGGATCAAATTCTTCCTTCGGCGTTCTCCACACCATAACTTTACCACTTGAGAAGAATAGATTAAATTTTGACTCGTCGGACCAGATGACATTATTCTAAATATTCAAACGTTTGTTTAACATTTCTATTGCATATTTTATTCGCTTACCACGATTCACCTTGTTGACGTAAGATTTCTTACGAGCAACTCGATCGAATAAACCAACTTCATGTGCTCGTCGATGTGCTGTATCTTCATGTATTGATATTTCTAACTCATTTTCAATCTTGGCCTTTATTGTGATCGCTGATCTTGGCCTTTATTGTGATCGCTGATTTTCGCCGATCTGATTTTAAGTTCCATTACTTGATCAGTTTTTCCTGTTCTTTTGTGATTTCGACCTCGACCGAATAAATTACCAATATATTTTGTTTTCTTGTATTCTTTAACCATAGATTTGACTATTGATCGTAAAATTAATGTTTTCGTCGCAATTTGACGTTGTGAGTCACCGTTCAAATGATGTTAAATTACTAGTGTTCGAAGATCGTTCGAATATTCTTTCTTTTTTGGCTCCACTATAATTAACTAACACCCACAAAAAGTCATTAGGCTATTTATACCCTAGTTATAGATTCTAGAACTCGCTGATAGAATGTAAAGTGAATTCTGAATGAAAGAAAATTCTCGTTCAAACTAGGATTTTCTCGAAATAAAAATTTTTCTATTTCCTGACGAATAATTTTGCATTGTAGAAAACCACGTGTGTTTACAAGAGTACGTATGTTAAAAGAGAATCAAATACTTAAAAGTACTTACATATAGACTATCGATGATGTACTACACGATAACGATTTTTAAAATGGCACACAAAATAAAGTCACACTATATAGATGGACAAATTTTTTGAACCACTGTACGTTAAACGAGTATACTATTTCGAGAGAACATTTCGCTTCCAAACGTCTGAATATTTTTCACGTTTAGTTTCATCGTTTCTTAGTCGTTTTTTGCAAACGTCCTCTCCTTTAATCACAATTTTGAGACTATTTTTGAAATTTTTATATGCCTAGAATAATAACTCATCTTCTGAGAAGCATCTCACTCTGTAGAGAGATGTTTTTTTTATATAATTTTTAAGATAGATTTCAGTTAATTTACAAGGATTTTGAAGAAGAAAAAAATTGCTTGGGTTACGTGGAACAGTCGAATGTTTATTAGAGCAACAGAGTCAGGAACCTTGCTGATTTTCTCCTATTCGTTGCTAAATTACTTTCCTCATGCTTTCTTCCTTTCTTTTAAAGGGATGGACACAATAGAGGACCCCCCTACTATAGAAGACCCCCCTGTTACAAGCAGTGGTTTATCTAGATTTCGTTTTTCGGGTAGGCGCTTGAGATTTTTGGAGGGGCTATTGGCTAAAAACTTTGAGAGTGAAAGTGAGAGAGAGAACATCGTCTTTTTTTACGAAATCAACTGTATAATTTTCGGGTAGGCAAATCGAAATTTCGGGTGGGTACCGCCCACCCGGCCTACACACTAGATAAATCACTGGTTACAAGACCCCTCTTGAACTCATAACGCAAAAACCACGTTAGAAGAGGGTCTTCTTTTATCGATTTTTTGACCTAAAATATGTTGATTTTGAGGTTCAATCAAACACTAATCTTTGCATTCATCTTTTCCCTCAGCTGTTCCCAGATCGAATTCACCCGATCGGATCCTGCCGGATCCTTTTAATTCCGGTGATTTCCGAAGATCGGAATCTGCTCAATTCCTTCGCGTTCCGATATTTTTTTTCTGGAGGATCCGGAGATATCCGGAACCAGGCGGATCCGTTAATTTCCAGTGACCGGAAATCGACGGATCCTGTGATGCGCACTTTATTTTTTTTTTCTTTCCAATGCGGATAATATATTCACCGTTTTGTTTCAAGACAGGAGCACTTTAAATACGACACTGCAGAAAATGAGAAATTGTTGTTCTCAAATTCTTAACAATGTGAGTCATCGCTCAAACTGTTCAGCGGACGTGTTATACACATCCTAGCTAGCGGGCCCTTTCACTCTCTCGAATGAACAGAGAGAAGAACCACTAGAAAATGAAAGAAAAAATTTAAGAATATTTTTAACCTTAAAATTGGTCACATTCTGCCAAATGTAGCGAAATCCGTATCATCGACCGGAAGGTCCCGGAAGATGTCGGATCCAGTCGGATCTTTTCCAACATCTTCCGGCACGGATTCCGAGCAACGGATTTCCAGCATGATCCGGTATGGTTGCCGAATTTCACCAACTTCCAGCATGTTCCGATGTTGGATCCGGCAGGATCCTGACACCGGAATGGACGACCTGGGTTAGGGTGAATATACCGCTGCTAGACAAAAAGGAGTGTGTGCGTACACAGCTTTGTACACAGTGCGAACTCTCGATCAAGCGATTTCAGCTTAAAATCGGCTTTTTTTAGGGACGCTTTAGAAGACCCCCTTCAAAGTTATGAGCGCTAGGACGCGATATAAGACCCGGGTCCTCTATTGTGTCCATCCCTTTATGGGATGCGCGCTTCCGTAAAGGTTATAGATCAGAGGCTACAATGTATCGAGCTTGCGACATTCATAGTCATTACATCTCGCCGACTTGCCTGAAATGTTCTATTTTGAGCGAAATCTGATTTGTCATTCTCGAGTTATAAGAAAATCATCAAAAATCAACTGTTTTTAAGATTTTCCTTGATTTCTTTGATCATCTGAAAACAACTGAAAAAATGAAATGTTTTCTGACATTCTGTGTTATTTCGGGCACATAGTTTACGTCGTTGCGGCTGATAGTGGAATGGAAAGTCTCGAATTACATCGTTCATTTCATTGATAGGTGGTTCTAGACGACAAATGTTCGGCACTGTTTCACAAAAGAGGCTGAAGTTCTAAGCAAAACGTTAACTGTTTGAAAAAACCAAAATCCAAGACAATTTTTGAATGGTGATTCGATTTTCGCTTCAACACTTTCTTTTCTGTTTCATCTTAGTTCAACTCGTCAGTTTCTGCTGATAAGTGTGTATCGAATGGAAACAGTAGAAGTTCCAGTCTCATTCTGTCGCCTTTGAAAACTTCACGTCATGTAGTTGGTGTTCTAATTATTTATATTTTTATAAATAGAAAAATAACATATTTGAGCAAAACATATCCTTTTTGTGCTTTATAAAATTGTTCAAAAGAATAAATTAAAATCATGTTACATCCATCAGCAGCAGGCAATGCTGTGACGTCAAAAAGAATGAAAAAACGTCATTCGTCACAGACACCACCATCACCATTTGCGAAAAATATGCCAGCATTACGCAGTCGGCGGGCAGTGTCAGAACAAGTAAATCTTCATGATCGGTAAGATACTTGTATTTTAATTTTTCCACTTGAATCATTGATTAAAGATTTTTGATTGAAAATATCATTTATAAATGCAAAAAGTAACTTGAAACCAATAATTTTTCGTCAACGATTAGTGTCTTTCGGTTAATATTTTCAGTTGTTAAGATGTAAATCAAACCTAATTACAGTTCTACTTTGTGGACGGAAAAGTCTTAATAACAAATTACGTTAGATCTAGTAATCAGTCAAGAGTTTGATCAATAATTATTCGAAAAATAACTCCCTAAATCAGTGTTTGTTAAACTTTAATAATATAGACTTTTTTAATAGGTTTATTTTATTGTTGTTTTAGTGTAATGCAGTTGAATCAAAGTCCTGTATTATCGGCATCGGCCGCACCAGCCATTCACAAAGATAACTGGCAACAACGAAGATACAATTTTCTAAGTAAAAATAAAATGTTTGGTGCAGAATTGAAAGATGAACTTGTGGGACAAATGATGAATGAACAAGGCTCAGATATTGAACAGCGGTACGATTTTTTTTCTATTTTAAGAAAAGATTTTAGAACTTTTTGTATTTAAAAATCCTTTTTATAGACCAATGGTTAGTTCTTCTCAGATACCACTTTCAGGAAGTATGGATTCCGACGGATCAAATATTAAACGTGAATCAATCATTGGAATGGCAGTTAGTAGTGTAAGAAATCTTTTAACAGTAAGTCAAAAAGTATATGTTTATTTATCATCAAGGGACACAATTAAGCCTTGTAAAATATTTAGCCCTATGAAATACGTACACAGATGTCAAATTTTTTTGACGAGGTATAATATACTTTATGTGTGTGTTGTTAAAATGCCATATTTTTTTTTCTTGCTGTTGGCTGACACTGTCATTATCGATTATGAGTGCTTTTACTTTCCTTTTGCTTTTGGTGAAATGCATAACTTTTTTCAATTATCTGTATAAGATGTTTGATTATTGCCTTTCTACATACAAAATAATTCCCAAAGTGTACTAATAGTAAAGTGTATATGGATACTCTCTATTGCTGACATGTTTATCAATTATTTATTCCCAATTATTAAAGATAATTGTATTTATTACTAAAATAATTGGGAATTGGCTCATGAAATTGTGAATTGTATTTTTGTACTGTTTAACTTAATTCTTTGATACATCGTAAAGAGATGTTGTGAATAAATCTAGTAGATTTTATTTAGGAATTGAGTACAGCCGTCTATACTGACCTATCTTTTTCGTCGTTTGAGATTCATTAAAATTTCTTTCGATACTTTTATTATACATGGTTTGATAGAGCTTTTCGAGCGGATCAAGAATATGTTAGTTTTAACCTTCTGAACTAATTTTTTCAATGAGAAAATTAAAAAATAGGGCAAGTGTCTTAAATTTCCAAAAACTGTTCCGACACGTAAAATTCGAATAATTTTTTTCTAGTTTTATTTTGGAACTGTTCGGTTTCTTTTTTCTGATTCAGCGCATAAAACCGAGCCCAGACCTATTATTTAGAGCTTTACCACATATAACATGGCCAAATTGTTTATTTACCAACTTAGCTTAAAGTGTATCCTTTTTTTTTTGAACCTATCTAGGGTTTTTTGTTAAGAGACGGAACAGTCATTTGCACTGTTTTCGGTTCGTCTTTGCATGGGTAAAAATAATGTGTAGAGCTTTTTTTGAAATTCCTTTCCGTTGCTGAAAAACTTCATTTTTTCTAAATCAGACGCAAAAACATCAGAATTCTGCTCGTAATTCTCAATTTTCTCAATCAGAACTCAACTTTTATGCAATAGAAATATCATATTCAGAATCAGGATCAAAAACTGAGTCAATTAATGTGTACTTCAAAGTTTTTACTTTATTTTCATTTTTTGGTGAAAATCTTCATTCATTTTTCAACGTGAAAATTCGAAAAAAACTAAAGTAGTCAGATAGGATAGAAATGTAAAAAATGTTGGTACACTTTAAGCTACGTTGAGAAATAAATTGTTAATTTGGCCATATTATATGTGATAAAGCTGTAAATAATAGATCTAGGCTCAGTTTTATGTACTTAGCTAGAAAAACGAAATCGTAGTTCCGAAATGAAACTAGAAAAACGATGCACTTTTTGCACAAAGAAAGGGGCCATAAAAAAAAAATTCCAGAAACAATACATAATGTCTGTTGACATAAAAATTATTCGAATTTTACGTTCCGGAACAGATTTTTGAAATTCATGACCCTTCTCGTATTTTTTAATTTTCTCATTGAAAAAATTAGTTCAGAAGGTTAAAACTAACATATTCTTGATCCGCTCGAAAAGTTCGATCAAACCATGTATAATAAAAGTCAAAAAGAAAATAGTGCTGTAATTTCGAATTACACTCACTTTAAAAAATTTTATGTTAAACCTTGACAAATCTTATAATCAGTTTGCAGGAAAAATATAACTTCATTTGCTCTGAAATAAAATTTATCTTGTGATGTGAGCACGAAATTCAACAGTGTAGTTCGTGTGTTGTATCTTCGGCTCACATTGGCTTTGTTTTGTTATTCTTATTATTTTATCTTGCTTTATCTCTTCATAACTATTTTACATAAATTTTTTACTTGATATATTTCATGTTTTTCTCAGCAAGAAGAAGATGATGATTTAATAAGAAATGAAATTGGTGTTAGTACAAGTGGAACTGGTTTACAGTCAATAAATGAAACTCCCATTGATGAATTCGATCATGGACAATCGATATGGTAAAAATAGTATAACTCTATTTGAATAGAATTTGTTATTAATAAATTTTTTTTTCTCTGTAGTTCAACGTGTACACAAACTGAAAATGATTTGCATCAAGCAACAACAACAAAACGAAATTCTCTAGCGTATACTATTATTGTTCCATCTAAACGTTATAATGAACAATTTGAATGTAAGAATAAATGTTTCAACAAAAACAGTTTCGGTATATTTATAACTAAGCAATATGTTTTAGTTATTTTGAAACGGCAACCATTCAGATATTTTTATTTACGTTATAAAAAAGCTCATCAAGAAAAAAAATTGATTATTAGTGAACCATATACTTCTCACAGGTAACTTAAAACTCTTTTGATTTGAAAATGGAAGACAGTAAAATGTTTTCTATATAATTTCTGAACAAAAAGTATTAAAAACCATCTACACGGTGCCAGTTTTATGGCCAAGATCAAGATAAATATATTTATGGAAAAATTAGTGAGACACTTTTGTTTTTCAACTAGACAGTGGTTTTATAGGAAATCAGATCAAAGATCTAAAAGTTTGAATAGAGATATTTTCATTTTTTTTAATGAGAAGATAGCTTCTTCAAAACGGAAGTTACTAAAAATCTTGATATTCTGTAATTCGGGCATTGTACTGGATTTTCTTGAAATACCAGGATCGGTACTCGGTGACTTGGAATAAAAAAATTAAAATATCTCTCTATTCAAACTTTGACCTGATTTTTCAATTGATTTCCTACAAAACCGCTGTCAAGTTGAAAAACAAAAGTTTTTCACTCATTTTTCCATAGATATAAAGGGTGTTCTAGAAGTTCTGAAGTAATTTTAGAATGATGCATTCTAAAATTACTTCAGAACTTCTAGAACACCCTTTATGTGTCCCGGTCTTGCCCATGAATTGATGAAAACCGTCGGTATTTTAATGATTTTTATTTAAAATTTATTTCATTATTCTTTATTTTCATATAATACATGGTAACATATGTATTAATTTAACAACGTTATTTCTTACTTTAGACCCTATTTCACATATTGGGTTACATTTGTTCAAACCTTAGTTTGTGCAATATCATTAATTGTGTATGGTTATGCACCTCTTACATCGACTCAGTCAGTACGTACATTTATTTGTTAAAATTTTTGATTAATTAAAAAAAATATTTATTTTTCGTCTAGAATAATTCATCATTGACTGAACAACAAAAATTTGATTTAACATCGAATCCTTGGTTTGGTCCTCATCCGGTAATTTCTCAATATATAATTAAAAGTAAATTCAATTTTTCATGTTTTTGTTCTTTTTTTTATCTTTTTAGGCTGATCTCATTCGTCTGGGTGCGAAATATACACCATGCATGAGAAGTCATAGAGAAGTTAAAAATAAATATAATAAACAGGAAAATTTAGAATCATTATCTGGTTGTTGTATTGATAATAAATCAAATCAATGTATGCAAACATTAGAAGATCAATGTTTGGTAATTATTGATGCCTCTAATTTTTTTTTTTTGTTTGTTGTGTACAAAAAGTTTGTTTATTAATTTTCTATAGGAACGTTCCAATTTAAAATGGTATAAAGCACCAATAACATATACAAAGGATAAAAAATTGAATGAAAATAGAATTTTATATCCAGCTGTATGCGGTTTAACTCCAGAGTATGTAAATTGATTGTATATTTTTATTTTTATTTATTTTTTTATTTTTTACATTATACACATACTTTTCTCATTTTCAGAATATGTGTAAAACAATTCGTTAGTAATGTTCCTAGAACGGAAGAAAATTCTTGGCCATCCACATCTGTCGATTCAAAATCATTAAAATGGTCTCTGAATGCGACACGATGGCCAGTACGTATTAAAATATTTTTTCTATTTTTATTATCTCAAATAATGTTGACTATCTTTATAGATTTGTCTTCAAATTGATAAAGAACGTATAAATCATAATATATCAAAATATCCTCATATAAGTTGTCAAAATATAGCCAATCCTTGTTGTGTTGGTATTTTGGGTGATTGTGTTTTAACTTCAAGAGAGGGTATATCTTTCAATTTTAAATTTTAATTAAATAAAATTTTATATAAATTTTTCTCTATTTTAGATTGTCGTCATCGTCGAGGTATTTATCATCCACATGCACATCTATGTTCTCAGGTAAATATTTAGTGAAAAATGTATTTTAAGTAATAATAATTATTTGAATATTTTGTTTTTAGGTTGATTGTATTCAAAGTACTTGTGGAATGTTAGAATTTTTTATAAGTAAGAAATAAATTTAGATGGTGTCTATGAATTAAATGATATTACGAGAATTTTTTTCTATTGCAGTTCGAACACCTGATCAAGTATATCGATTTTGGACAGTTATATTCATTCATGCAGGGTATAGGAAGACGTATGAAATGAGGATAACCAATATATACATGTATTGTTTGCTTTCGTATCGTAGATTGATTCATTTGGTTATAACAATCATATTTCAGTATACAATAATGCGTCATTTAGAAAAATTAGCAGGATGCATACGTGTCATGATTATTTATGTTGTGGCAGGTTTTGCTGGTAGTTTAGCTAGTGCTCTATTTCTTCGAGATTCTATTCAGGTAAGAATTTACATTCATTTTGTTCAATTTCTATTTTTAAATAATATTTTGTTTATTTAGGTTGGACCTGGTGGTGGACAATTAGCCATTTTAGCATGTTACTTAAGTGAATTATTTCTTGGTTGGAAAGATCTTAAACGTCCATGGATACCATTTTTTAAAATTACTGTATGTCTTTTACTATTATTTACTGTCGGTTTACTACCATTAGTAGATAATTATTCACAATGTTTTGGTTTTCTATTTGGTTTTCTTCTAAATATGATTGTATTTCCAGATTTTAATTTACCAAAAAATGTTCGCCGTCTTGTAGCTATTTGTATATCATTAGCAATTACTATCGGATCATTTATTACGTTAATTGTTCTATTTTATGCGTTACCATTTACATGCAAATCGTGTAAATATTTTAGTTGTCCATTTTGGTCTGTTTGTGGCGGAGAAAAAAGAGATTTAGTGTAATATGTATTTGATCTGTTATTATTGTTGTTTTTTTTGACTTCTCTTCAACTCCGTCAGATATCAAGTGATACCTGTTGTTGAATTTTTTATTAGTCATTAGTATTTTTCTAATATGAGAAGCATTTTTATTATTGTATGGCTGGCCATAATACTGTTTTATGTTTTTATCTGTTTAATAGAAATTATTTTATTTTACTGGTGTATAATTCTTTCTTATTCATTAATAGAATATCATTTTGTTTTTTTACGGTATATGATAATGGTTTTCTATTTATTTTTTCTATTTCATCTGAATTTGCGTGATATATTAGTAAAAGAATTATTTAACAATATAAACCGCATTTAGAAGAGAATGAGCACAAATTATTTATTCACGTTTTTTTGTTTTTTGAAAAACTTTTTAATGTATTTAGATCTGACGAATATATATTTATATTTAAAGTATGCACTTAGTGTCTATTTCAAATTTTTGTGTACAAATCAGACGTTAATAAAAATGATCGAATTTTGTTATTTTTCATATTGAAGTGTATTTTGACGATATTTTTTAATTTGTAGTTTTCTTTAAATGTATTCTATAATCTTAAAAGATGAATATTATAAAGATTTTATTCGTATATAACTGGTTAAGACATACAAGGGATACTGGAAGAAAATATATGGTATAATTCAATTTATAAAAAAAAAAATGTAAAATTTAATAAAATAAGTCCACATATTTGAAGATTATCACAATAGTTCAATTCTCTTGAGTATAGTAGAACTAAATATTTTGTGTTGTTAATAAAAATCATCTTTAAATTTAATTATCTAGGACTGAAATATCTTTATCAACATGATGAAAATGAGGAATACAGTTGGTGCAATGTATTGCATTTATTACTCTAAGATCATGAATTTTTTTCTAGAGAAAAAAATATGATTTTTAAATATAGTACAATTCCATCCTTAATATTTTTAAGTGTTAAAAATGACTTCGTTTTTACGAATAGTTTGACACTTCTTTGTAATTAAATGCGTAATTTCATTTGATTAATTGTAGAAGTTCGGTGTCATGTTGTACATTTCATAGTTCTATTAAGTTTAGATTATTACCTAAGGCAAAAGTCTTCTATAAGTATTCATTATGGATTAGAGAGACAGCTGTACTGTTTAATACATTATCGAAATTTACGTCGAACAGCTGTCTTACTTTATAAAATGTGTTGAATTCATTACTTATTGAACAATATATTTGTTTTAAGTGTCTGAACCTAACTTCTTTTTTTTTTTAACACTGTCGTTTTAGTTCGACTAATATAAGAAAAAGCAGATAGTTGACAATAGCTGAAACGCAACAAAAAGAATAGTTTATGTAACTGAGCATAGACGTTCAGAATTATTATAATGAGTTAAAAAAAAAAAGAAGTTTGACACCATTTAAGTATTACTTATGCGACTTTAGGAATGAATGAGACAGCAAAAGATGACACTGGATGACCTAATCATATGGTTTTCTTTTTTGTTCATTCACTTACCAATGAACTTTTTTGAGAGATTCATGAAGATTTGTAACGGTGTGTGTATGTGTGGGTGTCACACGTCTTAATTTTAGTTTCACTAGAACTTGAAACTCAAATTCAAGATCACAATGATGAGTGATAATTTGACGTAAATACTTACAACGTGATGATATTTTTGACTGCTGACATTGATTTTTGATATATTGTAATGTTAGTTACTATCCTTTTTTAATCAAGTGAAAAGGTGTTTTTTTCTCGCCTTAGAAAATGATTTTAAGACGTTCCAGATGCATACAGCATTTCTATTTTTTAGTTCTCTATTTTTTTTCAATCTGAGTGCACATATACATTCTACTGTACGGTCGATGGTTTCATATTTTTGGCATTGATGTATGTTCTTTTATTTATATCATCACTTAATTGAAAGACAGGTGAGCTGGAAACAGTGTGAAAAACAATTCTCTCTTTCTTTGCTCTACTCATTTATCTTGAAGTTCAGACTTACTCTCTAATTCTGTCTTTCTCACTCATAGATACCTGCAATATATCATATCTATTGAGTGAGTGAGTCGTAAGAAACTTTTTAAAATTCATGAAGCATCGCAGTTTCTACCTGTCTTTTCTCTGTTTATATTATGACGAACAAAAATGAGCTTTGAGTCAACAAATAAATATCATTTTCTATAAAATAACTAAAATTCTTTAAAAATAACAAGGTTATACATCTTCATAACAACTGCACATCTTGTTTTTTCAGTAAAGTGTACCACAAAGTATATTTCAAATTTTCAAAGTTTACGTACACTTTTATTCCACTGTCTACAATTTGTGATTAAAAATGCTGGACTCACCTCCGTGGGTACGGATGCCAGTCTGGATTTGGAAAATGTTTTGTTTGTCTTTGTCTGTACCAGGGCTCGAACCAGGCCAGGCAGCCTGCCCGTCTGCCTGGCCTGCCTTGTTTATTAAAAAATGACCAGGCTTCTACAGATCAGGCCAGGGTAGATCGAGAACAATAGTAGGCAGACAGGCAAGGCTCAGGAGATATACCGACAGGCCCAGGCAGATCTAAACATTACAGGCCTGACGCAGGCAGACCAGGTCTCAAAAATGTCGGCCTGTTTCGAGCCCTGGTCTATACCCGTTAAGTTGATTATCGAGTCTAAACTATAGAGTTGCTTGCAAACTAGAGAGAAAACATGACAGATCCGCTGCAACATGCCGTACTAGAGATCTGTTGCGCTGTCGATTGATCTCCTATTTATTAATAATGATTGTATTTTTGTTCAACGCAATAGCAATAAAGCTATTTACAAGTATGAGCTAACTAGAAAACGGAAACGTCATAGCAACAGTATCATCATCAGTTATCAGTACAATTACCAGTATGACTCCTTTAAAACTGAGACAGTGATTACATCTATTGAAAATATTAATAATAAATTAGTCATTAACAGGAGCATATCATTTTTCTTGAATATCAACTAAGATGTGAGAGTTCTAGTTTTAATAACGAAAATCTACGAAAAAATTATCCATCTCTTATGACTGATTGTACAAATTCATATTTATAAAAATGTGTATTACAAATAGAATAAAAAGATAAAAATACACTAAATATGCAGAAAACAATATGGAAGTAAATATATAAAACTCCAGAGAAAATATTGCATTGACTCAATAGAATATGCATTTGATGATAATAATTTCATATCATTTGCGTTTATAAAATTATGTACTGCTTGAGCTATCCGTGATGCTTCCATATTTAGAGAATGTGAACGTAACCTTTCGATTGGATAAGAGAATAATATTGAATTAATTCGTCCACCTAATGTTTTACAACTATGTATTTCTGTTGAATAAGTTGATGGACGATATTTAATTATATGTTCATCTGAATTTTGTTTTCGTAATGATGGAATAACATGTTGAAAACCGACTAATTGTAAAAAATGGCTCAATGAATGATTACCAACAATGACACTTGTTGGATCAACTTTTCTGACTAATAATTCCATGATTGTTGATTTCGATAAATTATAATTATGAGTTTTCCATTCATGATGACTATATCCGTAACCCAAATGAATTGTTTGTGAATATTTATGAAATATAAATTCAATCATTAGACCACGACTATATCGTGATTTAATGCTCTCTTTAGACATGGCAATAAGTCGATGATAATCCATGTATAAACGAGTAGCATTTTCAAGTAAAAATGTACCCATAAGTAAATCTTCTGCCGGATCTAAATATTGTCGCGTTAATCTATTTAAAATTGTATATGGACGATGATTAGTTAATGTTTTATATTCATTTGCAATAGCCAATGTTAAATAAAACATTTGAGATGTTGATGTTCTTTCATTGACACAACGTGCATCTGATTGAAATATAAATGAACCATTTATATCTAATCGAAGACAATCTCGTTCAGTATATACACAACGTTGTAGTGAATTATTGTAACAACCAGCATTCGGTAATTTTTGTAACATCGTTATATTAGCTCCGAGAAAACCGCCGTGAGGAGAAGATAATATTAAATTAGAATAATCACCACGATTATAATCAATTAATGACATGAAACTTACTTCATCATAATCACATGAAATAAATTGAATAAAAAATATCAGTCTAAAAATATTGTACATAATACATGTTCGAATTTTAAATGATAGTAATATTATTAACGATGTATCAAAATGCATAACTGTTGAGAAGAAGAAATCAGGAGACGATTGTCCCACATAAATTATATTGATTGACTCTGTTGAATATCAGCTACAAAATTAAAAAATGACAAGAAATTAAAAATTATACATGAACTTCAATGAATAGAAAAGAACATTTTATTTTATTTAAAAATGATCGTTCGAATACTTCATTATATTTCTTTCTCTATGAAATAATGAACCATATTTCAAGCTGATTTCCCTCAACAATCTTCACAGTAACTCCTCCCTCTAAGCTGGTGCATGATTGTTCAAGCTTCCATTTTATCTATCTATTGAATACACACATTCTTTACTCACCATTAGATTAGCTATGTGTAGAGATTAAATGTAACACATACACACATTCCAAATTCATTTTTTGCGTCATTCTATGAATAAATAAATTTCTTATGAACAGAGTCATCATTATCAACTAGTTTCAATATTTTTTTTTATTCGTTCATATTATTAAACTATTAAATTAGAAAAAATCATTTTTTTTTGTTATTACATGTGCTATGAGAAAGAGCGGGTATTACCATACAATTGTTGTTACAATATTAACTTCAAAACTATTAGCATTGGGGAACAGAGAAACGTGAAAAAAAAACTTGTTTTCTTTTTCTCTATCGTATTTTCCTTATGGACAAAAAAAAAAAAACAGCAAAAACTCTCTCTCTCTCTCTCTCTCTCTCTCTCTATATATATATATATATACACACACACACACACTTAGATTGGAACTACAGGAGAAAGAAAAAGAGCGAATGCTCAAAATAAAAACGTCGATGTCATAGAATCTTTTTTTTTTTTTGACAATAAAGTAAGAAAAAAATCATTTTATATCAGTTATAGAAATAAAAACAATGGTGAAGGTCTTCTATCTGTTTGTGAAACCAATAAATAATACGTGCGTGTAACAATCATCAGTGATAATAGCCTTGAGCGAGGAGGCTGTATAACAATTAGCCTTTTAAGTTGACAAATGTCATATGTGAAAATGAAATGTTCACTGTTAAGTTTACATCTCAATACATTTTTGAATCAAAAATTCAAAATCTTTTTATAATGAAAATATATTGTTTGCAATTTTGGAGATACAAAATCAAAAGTAATAGGAATCGATTTAACTCACAAGTTGGTCGTACAAAAAAACTCTTACTTAATTTTTTTTCTGAAAAATGCATTTTCTAGTCTAAAAACATGTCAGCATATGCTAACATGTATGACGTATACATTTCTGTACATGTCTGTTGCGTGTACAATTGTCGATTATCTATTTGTATTTCACTTTGTGGACATTATTTAGTGAAAATCTAATTTTCAATGATTAACACTCTTTTTTCTGTACGTTTTGTCTAAAATCAATTTTTATTTTAGTACGTCGTATTGGCCACCATTATGATCCCATCAAAAAACCATTCGAGTGGGTTTCAATTTTTACCCAAGATATTTCAGACTATGTTTTTAAGATGGTTTTTTGCAATTTTTTCAAACGGCTTTCCTTCTTGACTTTTACGATATTGAAAAATGAAAATCTTGGATTTTATTAGATTTTTAGTATTTTCTGCAATAAATTAAGAGGGAAGTAATATTTTCAAAAAAAAAAGAAAATTATTACCTCTGACATACCTCTTGAAGTATTTCTGCTAAAAATTCAAGCTCAATCGGATAAGTTTTCCTAGGAGTCATAATAAAAAGCAACGTTTCATTAAAATCTCAGGAAGGATGATAGATAAAACGTTAAAAAAAGAATGATATGCAAAAGACTTGCTCATTTGCCTTGAAAACGTGAACACTGTATCACTTTTGGTTAATTTCTCACCGGGCTCTTATGAAAAGCCAAAAATGGGAAAGAAGTACCCTTAAACTAGTTTAGTGAAAAAGTTAGAGTTCTAATCAGTAAAAAATAAGAATAGTTTTATTCATTTCACCAAGAAGGAAACTCGAAAATTGTCTACTATAATAACAATACTTTGCTAGTGTATTACTCTTCGCTCTTCAAATGAGAGTAGAACAACGATCACTAAGAGATTTTACGTTTCTTGAAGTAATTACTTATGATGGACAAGCGACATATGCACACTGATCTAATTCTAGTTACATATTTGCGAGAACGTTTTATCATAGAAGTATTTTTACAGACGTTTGTCGCTCATTAAACTTCCTGTTTTCATCTTAATATATTTTTACGTTCACAAGACGGATCCGAATGGATTCATTGTGTATTCATCTCAAAGATAATGTAATTTTATTCTGTTAGTATTTATATTCGCCATTATCACGAAGAAGATCATCATTTCAACATCTGTAAGATCTGTTTAAGAACAGCATACTTCAACATTGTACTTTCTGATAATGTTTTCAAGACGATCCAAGGTTAAATTTTGATTAAGTTTAGGACGTTAGTACAAGGACGTAAACATATTTCTTGCGCACATAGACATACGTTGTAATAAACTATCTATTCATTTATACGCTGTATCGAACGTGATACAAAAATATTCTTCTACTAGAAAAAAAACTTGTCATTTCTTTCTATGTGTAGACGATAAAGGACGTGTAAATGGCATGGAAAAAAATTAATAACACATCATTTCTGTCCTTAGACAATTTGCCTATGGTGTCTATAAAACAATGAGAATCATTACACTTATAATCTACACGTTTCTCAATATTTGATAAGAACTATAAATCACAAAAAATATATTCACTTTATTTCGAATAAAAGAAAAATTTAATTTCTATTATTTTCTCGCAAAACTGTGAATCTTTCTCTCTTTTGATCACGAACTTTATTCACTATGTCTACTGAAAATTCATTTTTATTGATTACTATGAAACGACTTTCATTCTAATTAGAAAGATCAAAATACCATCTGTTATATATTGGTATTATAACTCATCATATTAACAATCTGAAATGAGATTATTTCTCTTATATAATGTATAGTTCAAAATTAGTATTTTAAATGTCTAATAGATAATTATATATTTTTTTTTTGTGAAATAGATTATCGCCGTTAAACTTTTCTCACCATTTTCTTTGTCTTCGATCTGATTAGGCATACTATGCTGTTTTACATCGTAATTTATGATGTTTATAAATCTATCACGACGAAGGTTAGATCGTATTAGTTAGAATAATGTTTACATCCGACTTAGAGGTCATCATTAAAATTACATTTATTATTCTAATAATCATATATAGAGAGAGAAAATATTATTGCGCCTATTGAACACATCTCTATTAAGGAAACGAATGACATGTTATCGATCATAATTGATTAATGTTTGTTGTTTTTGGATACAGTTGATTAGATATACTGAAACTATTAATTTTCATTAGGTAAAATGTTTTCTGCATATGTTAAGTTCATGAAGAAAAATCTAACTAATAAAATCTTACACTATTATTATGTTAAAGTTTTCTGCTATATATCATGGTATACATGTTATATGAACAATTACAGTATTTTGTTAGAGCCAAATGAAGACAATAGGTAACTTTTTTTTTCCTAACATACCACTTTAATTTTCGTCTATTACAATTATTGGTGACTTTAATGAACTCAATTAATATGGATAAAATAACGAATAAGGATGTGATTATTATTGAGAACGGAACTATTAATAGCTTAAGATGATATATAGAAATGAGATGTGTCTAATGAAAGAAAGCAACTTGACGTTTCTGAAACGTCTCCGTTACTAATCTAGATGTAATGTGTCGGATAATTAATTACTATCAAGACTCAATTTACCAAAGAGTCAACAGTGCTCTTTTATAAATGTATTCATGAATGCTCTCTCTTTCTCTCTCTCTCTCTCTCTCTATTTTAAAATTAGTAGAATAGTTCATTCTCTTCTCTTCTCTTATCATTAATAATAAATCGTATATATGTATGTTTTATAGACGTTGTTTTTAGACTAAACGGCTTAAAGCAATCAGATCATTATTTATTGTCTTATCTTTTTACGTCTAGGAGAATGTCAAGTTTCATTGAAGCATGGACAAAATTATTTTCAAATTTTAGTTGAAATTTACTCAAAAAATAAAAATGAGTAATTATAATTATCGCCATACAATGAGTATAGTAATAAAAACATTGAACACCTGGTATCAATGATTGATATGTTGAAAATGACACATTAGTTCAAACCTTTTTTTTTCTAACAAAGTTTGTACAATTGTCATTCTTCGGCGGATCATCGTAAAACATAGTTACATTACATAGGAAGAGTACATATTCTAGACAGAAGGACAACGAAGTATCTAAAAGGATACTTCGTTGTACTGTAATACACACACGCTCAACAATGTTACGAGCAGATTTTTTAAATATCAGCGGTACACAACACTCTTAGCAGTATAGCTGCGCTACACTCATAAACAGACATGTGCGCAATAAAACTTTTCGGTAACGGTGACTAGAAAGTGTTCATCGGAACGTTGGAAACTTATTAAAAGCAAGGTTGGGTTTTCAAGCAGAAATTCTAACTTTTTTATTTATCACAAAGAAAAATTACTCTTTTAATGTCGTAGATAAACTTAACACTGATGGAGATGTACAGGGTAGCTGTTTGTTCAGTTCTAGCCTTCGTCCAGCTCTACTACCAGGACTGGGTGGATCTGAGTCCGGATTGGACATTTTTTCGGAAGACTCGGACTCGAATTTGAGTTTGTGTTTCAAGTCCGATCGATTCAAATTCTTACGTAAATCAACAGAAATCAATACCAGTATGGAATATGCAATAGAAGTTGACTGATGTAAATCTTCTGTTATAATAAGATTGATGTGTTGTTGTACAGCATAGGAGAAAAGAAATATAAATAACGACAGTCAAAAAGGTTTGAAAAAATTATCAGACTCGAAATGGACTCCCTTTGCTTGCTTTATGACTTGGGCTCGGATTCGGTATCCACGGACTCGCCCAGTCCTGAGCCTTACTCTGTCCTGCAGGATAAGAACGTTCGGCATCTCTCTAAACACCAATCATCTTCTTTCACAATAAAATAACGCACCAACAAAAGAATCAGAAAAAATCTCTCTCATACGGATTGGGAAGAAAATAGTATACTCTGTGCTACAACCAAACAAAGGAGATAATGTAATCTGTTTGAAACCTTTTTCTCTATGCTCAGTGGCGCACATCTCTGCTCACAAAGCTACGAGAATGCCGATCTTACCTATAATATGTTTTCAATATTTATCGCAGAAATATCAATGCTTTCCTTACTTTTTAATAATAGTAAAAATAACAAAAATTAAAATAACATTAACATTAAAACATTTTTAACATAATACTAACTAGACCAACAATAATCGTAATCAACGTGATAGTTAGAACAACATTTTTACTTCCATACTGCATCAATTTTTCCATCAAATTTCTTGAAGATAATAAGGATGTGTTACCGCTACTTTTATTATTCGTCATTGTGGTATTAAATTGTTTTGTACGTTCTGTTGTTGTCAATTCTAATGGAAATTCTTCTCCAGCTTCTAAATCTTCTTCATCAAGTTCTAAATGAAAGTTTTCTTTCACACAATCCACTACTGTTTGTATTGTTTCATCTGATAATTGATATCCAGTGATGAATAATGGTAACGTCTTTTCTCGATTCATCACCGTATAAAAACGTCTGGGTAAAACTATTTGCTGATTAGTATTTGTCAAAAACTTAGTATCACTTTTATTCTCATTTTCATTTTCAGTATTGATTAATGCAAGATTAAAACGAATTAACATTGTACGAAATAAATCTTCAATAAAATATTGACGTAATTCATTTCCAGTTATTTTTGGTGTTGTTATATAAGCACGTAGCATAAAACTACCTTCAAGTTTACAACATATTCTACCATTATACATATCATTATTTTTTAAATTCACTTCAACTGGTGAAAGCCACTGAACATCTATTTGTTGTTGCTGTTGTTGTTGTTGAGTAAAAATTGGTGAATTCATCAAAAGTAGACGATTATCCATCACCAGCAAACTTTCCTAGAACAAATATTATCTCATAAAGGTTAAAGTATAGCACCGGTAAAAGTTACTTCGAAAGTAAGATGTCGGACTCTTTAATAGTTATTCGAAGTTGTATGTGGTACATAAAAAGACTGATTAATCATCATTCTTTTTTAGATTAATAGCATCTGAGTATTACTTTCAGGTTATCGGTATAAATCTTCCATTGTTCTTCAAATTCCGTTTCAATTTGTTTCAGGGTACTGTTCATTGTTGTTGTTGTTAACCAAATAGGTAGCTGAATAGGTACCACTGTTGTTATACAAAAACTTGCTGCTTTACTATAGGTTTTCAAATCAGCTGTACGAAAATTAATTTCCTCTGTACTCATATCTAATGTTTTCATCACCCATTTTGCGTTATTTCCATATTCACCTTGTAATAGTAGACGATGTGACGATTGTTTCAAACTAAATGGAGAATACATGGTTAATGAACGTTGTAAAATGTCAAATAGACGACGAATTTTTAACGAGAAATTTGATGATTTTAAAATATCCGATTTGGTTTTACAATAAAATCCAATAACTGTTACACCAGCACAAAGACTCGTCGTTAATTCTGGAATTTTTTCCCATAGTTTTTTGTTTGATTTTGCAGTGATTGTATCAAAACTATCCACATCTAATGGTACACTCAAATCTTTGGTCATATCGACGATATAATGAATATAATCTTTCTCTTGATTTGTCGATTGGCCGCATAATAAACCGAATGCAAAACGGTTTGATGGTATAGTTGACAATTGCTCGTTTAATATGGATGTTTCAATAAACACTGTACGACCCATGACAAATTTATCTAAACTAAAAATATATTCAATAATTCATTTGTTTTAAACTTGATTAGCAATAGAAATTCGCATCAAGCTTCAAAACATCTAGCTCAAACTAAAAAATCAATTCAATTTTATTAACAAATAAGAATAGATAAAAAATGATTATTTACAAACAGCTAATTCCTAAGTGGAAAAAACATGTGATCATTGAAAAATGATAACCTGTTGAATTAAAACTTGTTGTCTCATTCCGTTGAATATTCATCGGTTATAAAATAAATCGTCTATTGTCATTGCATTTCCACTCTCATCATAGTTGTTGTTCATATTTGTGGTAGTACTGCTAGGTGAAGGAAATGAAGCGTTCAAATCAAATTTTGAAAAATCAATATGCTTTTTTAATAATTGTGTTTTTGATCTTAATTCATTATCCGTTAGAATTAGTTGTTTTTGTTGTTCATTTACAGATGAGTCGATACCATCGAGTTTTTGGATGATATCATAGCATGATTCAAATTGTTTCCGCAATTCGTCGAATTTTAATTTAATATCTGATGGATTTTTTTCTGTACTAAAAATGATTAGCTATATGACAAAATAAAATCAGTATGTTTATGTTTACCTTTTGAGAATATCAGCAAGACGCGGTAAAAAATTAAATGTTTCTTCATCAAAATTTTGTTGATCTATTTTCACAGTTGTTATGCCTGTTAGCACATCGGATGGATTTGTTGAATAATTTGATACAATCGAAGAAAATGTTGCAGCCATATTGGTTTCTTATCTAAAAAGATTAAGATGTATCGCCATTCGAAAAACCTAAAATAGAATAAGAACTTATGCGCCATAGATTTATAATGTAAGTGTTCTAAATATTTGAATGAAAAACACATTCCATTAATTCTAGAGATTGCGTTTTATCGAAGATGTCTGATACCAAAGTCCGTTTTATACTTTTCTAGGAAATTAACAAAGCAAAGCTTACAAAGTTTAGTTTAATACAAAACAGCTGACTTAACTATGAAATGGAGCGCACACGTAAAAGTTTTACTGTTTCGTTCTATAGACCCATCAAATGAAGAATTCTTATGGGCTCGGAAACAAAACAATCATATCCAACGTTAGGTGTCATGCTGATCACAATATCAAATGACGTCTCTGGTCTTTTAGCTTCTATGTTAAGAGATTTCGTACCAAATCATCCAGCAGATATATATGAATGCTATATCAAAAAACATATAATTTATTGTATCGTAACTCATTCTTTCTCTTTGTTTCTGAATGATACTAGGAAGCTTATTTGCTAAGAGGTAATATTCTACAGTAGAACAATATTTTATTAAAATCATATTTGACTATTTATTATAATTTTAAAATTATTTCCTAAAAGCTGAGATGTAAAATTGATTTAAATAAAAGATGATACAAAAAAACACATCTGGTGTATACAAAAATAACCGTAAACGAGATAATTTTTGACAGTATATTTTTTAATTTCTTGTAGAAAGCAGTAGTTCTTGAAATTTTCGGTGTTACTTTTCTTGATGAAACTAAGATTTCAACTTGTTCACATGATGATTATGATGCAACCATTGATTATCTTTTACTAGTAGTATCGTTGAATAACCAAGATCCAACTTGAGATGAAAATAAATTTTCAGTTTATATAAAACTCGAGTTCCCTAAAAATATTTCAGTGTGACAATGACAGCACTGACATTTTCCAGTATCATATTGAAAACTATTGAGGCAGTAGTCAGCTTTTTATTTTAATTGCTTTTATACTTAATTTTGTGTTAATTTAAGTACGGTACTGATAGGTATCAGTACCACATTTATTATAAATATCTGAACTATTGTTAAACTGTTTTTCTAAAACTAATTATTAAGCAATACTATAATTTTATAGTTATCAAGCGATTGCATTTTATGATTCACATAACTGACTGTTGGAGTAGAAGTCACCAGTAGTGAAAATAAATAGAAAAACAACAATTAGAAAACATAAAAACAAACGATCAATCACAAATGCACAATATTTGTATTATGTTTCATCCAACGAATACTTACATAATCAGAAGATCTTATTTCAGATATATGATCCTTTAATTCTTTATATTTGTTGTCTTCATTTGTATCATTGAATGATACAAATGAAGATAAAACAATTAGTAAACAATTAGTAATTGTCTACAGTAACAATAGAACAATTAGTAATTGTTTTATTGTCATTGTAGAACCCCATTTACCTTTGCTAACTGTTGATTCATATCATTTTTTTACCGTTACATAAAACTAAGAATGAAATTAAAGAAACTTTCACTGCAATTTATTACGTTCTCTTTGAAATAGATAGAAACCACATTGCAATTCATTTAATCTAATATTACCAACAATCTCTTTTCTCTTATAGCTCAGTATAGAAAAAGATTGGTGTATAGTTATATGATTACTCTCTACACCCATGATCTTGTCATACAGTACACTGTTATTAGAATCAACTGATTTTTGGTAGTTCAATTTGAAAACGCATTTGATCAATTTGATCAAAATACTTGATTTGATCGTACACACTGTAACAAAAATAATGGAGAAAACATTGAAAAATTACAGAAGAAACGTGACATCACCAAAACTGATATCGCGTTTTTCCTGTGGCTTTATATACGTTGCCTTAAGGGTACTTCCATTCAGATCCGTCCACCATTACATGACCTCACAGCCGCGAAGATTTCTATATCGGCATTATGTAAAGCATAAAAAGTTAGCCGTAGAACATTAGGCTCGTTTTTTCAAAGAAACATATGAAACATG